TTTGTCTCTCATAGTTGAGGTATTCCTATGATGAAAATTACAGGCCTCTCTCATGTAGGAGAGTAGGAGAACTTGCACAATTGGTGACTGACTAAATACTTTTTTGCCCCACTGTATATATATATATATATATATATATATATATATATATATATATATATACATGAGCAATATCAGTATACCAGTACAATATTTCACGGTTCTCAACCAATCAGATTTGAGAACCAGAACGAACTGTTGTATAAATAGATTGTGAATGTTAGTCTGGGTGTGGGATGGGGTAAAACTAAATCTACAGATAAAAGCCATTTGAAAAGTGCCAAAAATAATTAAATAATGCATGGTAAAATAAAATAATAAAATACAATAAAAAACAAAAAATGCATACAATACAATAAAAATAACATTAACAGTTCTCAAGACATTTTTTGCCTTCATATAAAAATGAAAATGGTGAAATATGTTAGTTTTGATTAAATCAATCAATCAGTCAATCAAACGAAAAATACCTGTGGCATAAAAGTGCCTGTAGATGAAAAGACACAATTGGTGGCTGACTAAATACTTTTTTCCCCCACTGTATGAATGAAATTTTCTCCAATTGTGTACAGATATGCAAATAACTGCAAAATATCTGCTATTATGTTTTTGACAATTTCTCTGAATACAGCACTTGATTAATAAAGTACAGCTGTGATTTTGTAATCAGTGGCTCAAAGACTAGTGGGTCTCAATTCCTCTGTAATGATAAGTACACGGGCTCTTGTATGGATTAGAGTGGATTAGTACATATCAGTGTGTGAAAATAATCCAAAGTGCTTGATGGACAAGGTGGAAACATAAAATCTGTTGATAAGTGGTTTAACCCTCTGATGCATGATGTCCACTACAGCTGACAGAACTTTAAAAGCTATTTGTAACCACTGAGGGTGTGACGTTACATCCAAACCACCATGGGCCGATGGCCTTTGAACCCAGTCACAATATGACTGTCCTCTTTATATGTCATTGTATTTTTTATTATTACTATTTATGACAGCAAGAATTCAATCTGCAAAAGTGGTGAAGCATCAAGTAGCTCTATCTTATATTCCAGACAGCCTCTCCTGAGGCATAAACCCTCACACTAATAGAAATACAACAGTTATAATGTCAAATGGAAGTGATCTTTATAGATCAATTGCAAACTGCATATATAATGGGTAAAACAGTTATGCATAAAAAATGACCATGGCTTGTCATTTTGTCTCCACCTTTCAAATGCAGTGAAATGTTTGTGTTATGCTTGCTTTGGTGTCCTTGTTTAGTGCATTCAGACTGTAATGCTGAAATAAAATCTTACCAACTTGCTTCTATTATTAGCATTTTTTTACTATGACAAGGAAACTAATCAAAAACTAAAGTATATGACAACACACAGAGTGAGTACTAAGTAATAGATTCCAAAGCTGCCTGAAATATGTCACAAGGATTCCTAACGACCTCCATCAGTAAACACATAGCATAATGGCTGTGATTTAAGTAGTCAATTATCACGCCTGCCATGTTTGTTTGTTCTATTAGACAGTTTATGGGGTTTATCACAGAACTGAAGAAACAGATAACTGTGTCATTTCTCCTGCACTTTGAGGTTACGATAACGAGCAAAAAAGCACAAGGAGAACAAAGAACGCATGTTTTGTTGACAAACAGAGGTGTATCAGCTCCTCATCATCTACAGTATTAATTCATTTCAAAACATTGTGCCTGTTTAGAACATGGTGTCACACACACACACACACACACACACACTCTCCCTCTTTACCTTGGTGAACATGGGCTTGCCGTGTTGTGTGACCATGGTGCACTGATCGCAGTCTACAGTGATGCAGGAGTTGTGGAAGGACTCTTTGGAGTGTTTCAGGATGTAGTAGAGGTCTGACACGCCACCCTCAAAAACCGTACTGAAGTAACGAGGAATGAGCGTCCGCCCGATTGCTGAGGAGGAAAACAAGATGTCATTTATATTGCATTGCATTTTGTTGAATGTATTCCTAAAATGACTCAAAATGTCTCCACATCTCTTAATTTCTCACTGTTTGTTACGCTACATTATTAACAAATAATGACAGTCATGTATGAATTAAAAACAAACAAAAACTGTTCCTGAATTCCCTCAAATGGTGTCACCGTGCATCAGCACTGACATAGTAAGACTGGGAATTTTTTATAACAATTGTTATATATTAGCCTAACTGATATATAATATATAATATTATATTATAATTTGTTTTTGCAAACTGTGTTTACAGTAACCTGCCCGTGGTCTTACAAAAAGTTGAGTTGGAATACTTATTCTTCCCTGCAGCTGGAGATAATTATGCAACATTTTTTCTGTTGTTGTTTAACAATGAACAAAGACAGAGCCCCTGTCTGGATGTGTGGCCTCAGGTTGATCTGCACTGTTCAAATTTTTTTTCTTAGCTTGTATTCTTGCTTCACTACAAAAAACTATAGAATCCATCATGTACATACTGCAACAAATAATTTTCTTAATCAGTATTTTTGTCAAGCTTTCTAATAAAATGTTTAAACGTAAATTGAAAAAAAAATGAATTGATAAGTAAAATAGCATAAGATCTTGAATATATCTTAATGTAAGATTTTTAAACAAGCATAACGAATTAACATAGATCTCACTAAATTCAGATCGAAAAGGGGAAAAAAAGAGTAATGAAAGTGGGGTAAAAAATGAAATTAACTTATTATTACCATTCAAAAGTTATTTTTTTCAAAATGATTTTTAATGTTTTTCAAGTTTCATCAAATCTGAAATTATTTAATAAAAAATACAGTAAAAACAGTAATATTATGAAATATCATTACATATATTTTAACATGTAATTTATTCCTGTGATTCAAAGCTGAATTTTCAGCAGCCATTACTCCAGTCTTCAGTGTCACATGATCAGAAATCATTCTAATATGTTAATTTGCTGTTCATTTGTAGTATTATCAATTTTGAAAAAATATGCTGCTTAATATTTTTGTGGAAACTGTAATACAATGTAAAAGTCTTATTTCTGTTCATTATAATGCATCATTCTGATTTAAAAGTATTAATTTATTTTTCTTTGAAAAATAAAAACATGCTGACCCCCAGCTTTTCATGCGTGTGTGTGTATCTATACACACATATATATATATACATATATATATATATATATATATATATATACACACACACATGAGCAATATCAGTATACCAGTACATTATTTCACGGTTCTCAACCAATCAGATTTGAGAACCAGAACAAACTGTTGTATATATATATATATATATATTATAAAAATGTATAGACATACATATATCTTGGTCACCCATTGAAAAGCTTTACAAAACATTTTAAGGTGCATTTAGCTGGACATCTTTGGCCAAGAAAGAAGCAGACATGCCCACAGAAACAACTTGTACTTTTTGCAAATGGCTTTGCAGAGTTAATTTATCATTTTAATATTGAAACTGAACGGACGAGCAGCCTTATCCAGCTTAGCGTCTCATTTCAGGCAGAAATAATCCATCTTACAGTCAAACTCCCCTTTGAGAGAAATTATGTTTGTGCCACCAGCCCTGAGGAAGCAGAACGGGGGTGGTGGAGGAAAAGAGAGAGAGAACTTCATTTACCCAGCTTCCCTTAAGACAGCCGCCACTGCCGCCACCGGTTAAAACTGCACGGGCAGAAGGAGAAAATGAAACAGCTGCAAACGCGGCCTGTTTCTTAAATTGGCTAAAGTCTGGCATGACTAAATCAACACATAAATACTTGGCAGGGGGAGAGAGTGAGAAAAACGGGAGAAGAGGATAGAGTGGAGGGAGAGAGAGCCCTAGCTTGAGTGTATAAATGAAGGTCTCCCTAGTGGTTAAGACACAGAATGAGCCGACAACGGGAGCTGACTGTTAATGAGTGAGTGCGAGAGAGAGCGGTTTGAAGGGACAGTGAAAATAAATATGAATCACCCATGAATGAAAGAACAGCACAGAATGCAGGCAAATAAAGTGCTACAGGGAAGGACGAAAGTGAGAGAGATACAAAATGAAAGGCTGACAGGCAGGGTGACAGCAAGGGGTGTCATGCTGAAGGGAGATGTTGTTACTGAGGGCACACCTGACTGCCCGCTAAAGTTCTAGAGCACTGTGGCATAGCGGCCCCTATGCCTAACCATGGGGCATAAAATCACAGACACACTCGCACACACCAAAAATAAGAGACGAGTGACGAGTTGAACACACAAGAAGCTCTATAATACCTAGAGAAAGCTATCTGTTAGCATTCACATTCCTCTAAATAGCCACCGATCAGCTGGCGCTCCAGAAATATGGGTGCTCAGTTCTGGGCACAGAACTGGGTTTTTGAGCCAATCACCTAAGCCGTAAATGCCATGTAACTAATTAACAGGAATAAAATGACATAATGACAATGCTGATTGTAAGTCCAACAAACAAACAGTCACTGGCAAATATTGAATTGAATATAGAAATATTACTAATATCATGAAATTATAGAATTGATTAAAAATATAGAAATACAATAAAAAATAAAAATGTATAGAAAAATAATATATGTATTTATATGTATACATTTTAAATGTCTGTGTTTCTGTTATAGATTTCTATTTTTAAAAAATGCTGAACTTTCTATTCATCAAAGAATCCTGAAAAAACATGTCATGGTTTCTACAAAAATATTAAGCAGTGGCAAAATGTTAACAATTTATTTGGTCAGAATTAGTTGTTTTGCACATAAATTTGGTGTTGTTACATTCTCTATCAGCAAGGACTAACTGGATTATGCCAACCAAACAAACATTGTCTTGGGCCATTAGCATCATATGGCCAGACTATAAATACACAGTAACATGGTGCCAATACACGTTTCTGTTATTATATTTTTTCATGAAAATGTATAGAAATACCACTATACCATGCAGAGACTGATCTCCACTGAGACAAATACAGATAGATAGATGTTCTATAGGACTAAGACTCAGCACCTACAAACGAATCTCCACATAACTCTGAAATATAGGCCTATGCATTTAACCTGTAACCTCTTGTGCCAGTAACAACCAATAAAACAGAAAAGACTTCCCTCAGGTCATTTTTATAGTAAGCTTAATTTATCCACTTTTTATCCACTTATTCTGACACCTGTATTCATAATCATCTATGCCAGACGAGATAGAAATGGCAAACAATGTCCTGCTGGGACGTAGAGTTCCCTTTGCCACCTGTAGAGGGAGCACTTCAAACAACCTCTCTTTAAAATAAAAGTTAGCCTCCGCAGGATTCTGACAATAACCCATATGCTTTTGTGAATCTTTTTTGTCTGAGCATGTGCGGCTCTTTTTGCGTGTTGTGAAAGGACTTCAGACTGATTGGCCCATCTACAGAAGCGAGCACTCCAGAGATTGGATTAAGCAGTCACTTGTTTCGGCTAACACGCCGTGCAACATATGCCTCTCAAGTAATTTGTACCCAAACACGCAATTTACAAATAATTAACGTCTTGTTAATTAGGCACATTAATTCACACTGAGCATAGGCTCCAGGACAGATGCCAACACTCGCAGCCAAAGAGACAAGAGAGGAGTTCAGTTTCAAGTGGCACAGCAGACGAGGAGGAGAGTGTGAGAGGGACAGAGAGAAAAGAGAGACAGTCAAAGACACAGAGGGGTGGACAGAAAGGTTATGCACTGAGACAGGCAGAGTAAATAAAGACAAACAAAAGTGATTTTGCATGTAAAACAATTAAACAAATGTCAACCTTTTTTCAAATTAAAAAACGTGTGATTATTTTCTCATCCTCACGTTGTTCCAAAACCATGTCTTTTTGTCTTCCGTGAAACACAAATTCTGAAGATTTGTACTAGTCGCTCTTATCATATTACAATGAAACGTCCAAGCTTCATACAAGACACAAAAGCACCATAAATGTCATAAAAGTGGTCCATATGACTAGTGCACTATATTTCATGTCCTCAGAAGTGATAGCTTAGTGTGATGTACACACCAAAATTAAAGTTGCATTCAATGAAAAATTTGGACATATGCTCTTGCTGCATTCAATCAGATTATTTTCAATCAGGGGAAAAAGTGTGCATTGTGAAAAGAAAAGAGAAGTGAGTTCTTTCCATAAACTTAGCCTGAACTATACTATAACTATACTAACTAAACCTGGAACCACAGAGCTGAGTAATAAAACACCTCAAAAGATTTTTAAATAAAAAGGAAAAAGTGCAGAGCCACTCACACTCTCAGTTCTGAAACCTTGAGAGTTCACTTTTGATTCGAAGCCTGTTAAAAAATGTAGGCAACTTAATTATGAACTTGTCACTGTGAAGACAATCCCAAGGAACTATTACAAATGCAGGTCGATCGATCGGTGCATCTCTAAAATCAACCGATTCGTTTAAAATGCTAATTCATTTAACTTTGCAAATGACTGTACTCATAGCCCGACTGAATCATTTACTGGTTCATGTAACGCTAAGGAACAAAACATTGTGATGCTCCGAGACACAGCGGTTCTGCTGTTTGATCTATTTTCCTTTTGATGGAGCAAAATGGTATTTTGTGTCTGAAAGTTACTCAGTAACTTCTTGTTTATTGTACATTTATGATTGTGCAGATATTCGGAAAACCAGGACTCTGTGTTTGTGTGATAGGCTAACTCCTATATCATAGGCATATGTTATAAAAACAGAAACTCATTAAATGTTTTTTTAAAATATTTTTAAAAATAATTTTGATGACATTTCTGCCCCACTATGTGTGATGGCAGAGAGACGGGAGCGAGCGCTCAAAACACTTCAGATCGCTTAAATTAGTGGAACAAACATAATGTAGAATCATCCTCTGTAAAGAAATGAGACCAAGAGGCCTACAGCAACTCTGAAGCAGTTGCAGGACATTTCTGACAAAGAGTGGTCATTGTGTG